CACGTATTTCCAGAAAATACTATTTAATCAAATGTAGTTGTTTACACTTTAGGTACGACTAATTGAAAATTTCAATTCTATTCTATTTAGTTTTTTAATATAAACAATTGGATATAAGTACTGTTTTTATCTAAAATGAATTTTGATATTTGCTTCGACCTAAAAAATATTTTTCTTCTACATACTCCCCTTTGTTTTGATGATTAAAAATATTATGACAGCAACAAAAATACCAAATACCAAAAGTGTTCAATTCACAATAACGTAATTAAATCTTTTCACAAATATATACGTAGAAAAAGCAAGATTTTTTTTAAAAATATATATTAATGCGTATTTTTTCACAATTGTATCATAAATATTTAAATTATTTCAAGTTTCACTAAATATTTCTTGAATTATTTCTCAATTGAAAAGTACACTGTTTTTTTCAACATCATTAATTTAACACATATGTCAACTTATCGCCTACCGACTTATAAGGAAATGTTTTGAAATCATTTTAATTTAAAGTAATTTATTATGTTTTAGTCAAGCGTTGTATTAGTATATTTAACTGCTTAAATTGATTAAGGATTAAAAAATTCATTTGTTTTATGGGTCCCGTTTAAAAACTGAGAAAGAATGTCCGAAGCCAACGTGTTATAGCGATTAAACATTTCTGCTCTTGTTGTCAGTTTACTGCTAAATGACAATAAAGAATTATCAAATATAACAAAATTACACATTAGGGGTATTCACTCTCTCTTGCAAACTCATTGCAAGGTGCACGAAATGCACAGATTGTACGAGAATGCAAATAACAACAACAAAATACACGCACAAAATTTCGTGCAATTGCGTGCAATCTTCCAATGCTGAAACCTATGTATATTTGCTTGCAACAAACCAGAAATGGCGGAAATCAGCTGTTTTGTCATTTGTTGCTTCTCATTTTTAAATTTGAATTGACTGTTAGTAAAATTTCGAGATATGTTAATCTATGGCTATGCTATATACATGCGTTTCGTTCAATAATTTAAATCGATGTGACCATTAATTAAGTTTTCACAAATATAATATTATATACATATACATTTGTGAATTAATTTATCTATTTATCAATTTCAGCGAAACTTACGAAAATTTGTTCACATTTTGAACTATTGAATGAAGTGTTTGGACGCATGTCTAATTTTGTACGGAAACATTGCCATAGCCACCAACTAGTTCTGCGCTAGGCAACGAAGTTTTTTTTATTGAATCGTCTGCAGACAACACATCATCCAGCTCTGCACCGAAAGTCGTGCGTTCTGCTGTGCAAAGCCCCACTACCCCCCTCGATAAAAAATATAACAAATAACAATAATAAATTAAGAATTAGTTATATTTTTATTATACTAATTCTAATTATTTTTATATTATATTATTATTACATATATCTCCAACAACAAATAATGTAGCGACTTTACGAATAGCCGCATTTTCGCCTGATGAACCCAAACGATATAAAACAATAGCAATCCTTAATAGTTTATTAGTGAGACTATTAAGGAAAATACGTTCCAATTTACTCTAAGCATCTGACAAAAACGGCCTTCATCAAATTCTTGAAGAATGGTAGATCTCCATTGAATAGATTTTGGTACGGGTTGGTGATTTCTGTGATGGTTTACTAAAGTAAACAAAAGGTCTTCATTTAATTGCTCCATCACTTCCCAGTAATTTGCATCATCTAACAAATAGAAACTATATAGTAGTGAAAACTACATTAACAACATGTTAATACCTTCAATCAGAATATTAAAAGCACTATTTTCAATAAAAAAATCTATACATTTTTGTATTTCACTTGTTCGCGGCATTGTTATACTTTTATTTTTCTTTGCTCAATTTGATACGGCTGCAAAAACAGCTGATTCATTTTGATGATGCAATTCTGCAACAGAGGTGTTCTCGCAGTCTTGCAGTTTTTGTATAGCATTCTTGCATTTCGTGCTCCTTGCAATGAGTTTACAAGAGAGAGTGAATACCCCTATTATCTCTGGTATATTATAATGACAATTTGAAACTAAACTATTTTAAACATATAACTTTTATAACAAATATAAATTAATTCATGTCATATAAAATACTGACATTAATATACGTCCTCATATCCAACCGCTGACTCATTAGGTTTTGTTTAACATAAACAATATTACGCATATTGCAAAGCCAATATATCTAAAAGGCTTTCATTACTTAATAATTAATAATTTACTAATCATTACAGTTCTTGGAATTGAATTTATACAATTTTGTTATACCAAATTTTCCATTATTTTGAATTTTTCAAAATGCTGAATTCTATTAAATTGACTATACAAAATAATTCACAATATAACTTTACAATTCAATATTCACAATGAAAATCCGCACTTTATTATTATTTTGGCGCCAAGTGTTTAGTATGCATTGGTTTTAGTTTCGCTGATTCAATTTCGTAATTTTTAATGCTAAATTAAAATAAAAATGGTTTTCCAAAGAAGTTGCTTGCGCTATGCGCATACCAGTGGTCACACAAGTCTAATATATACCAAAGATGGTGAATCTATTATCACTTGTGGTTCAGATGGAGATATACGAAAATGGAAAGGTATAGACGACGATGATCCAACATCTACTTGCTTAGGAGAATTTGTAATATGCATTGCTGATATAGGAGATAAACTATTAGCTTCAACTGATCTTAATACACTGCAATCGTATACTTATCCTGATATAGAGAAAGCTGGTACTTTGTTACGTTTTACTGCGCCAGTCACCTGTGTGTGCATTAGGGACATATACACTGTTGCTGGCTCCGAAGACTGCTTTATTAAATATATAAAGAACGGTGACATTAGCACCGAAACTCAATTAGAAGGCCACGAAGGCCCTTTATTGGCACTGGATGTCAGTGCTAAAGGTTTATTGGCATCTATTGCTGGTGATGGTTTACTAAAAATATGGGATCTAAACAGCGGTACTGAAGTAAAAACCATAAACGGTTTAATAAAGACAAACAGTTTTGAGCGTGCGGAGTGTTTAGGCACTCCTGTTTTTGAACCAGAAAATGGAAACTCATTGGCGTATGTGCAAAAAAAGGAAATTTATGTTTTGAATACAAACAATTGGGAATTGCAATTTAAACTCACTGACGAACGAAATAAAGGCAACTATAGCTGCTGTCAATTTTCGAAGGATGGTCAATTTATTGCTGCAGGCACAACTGAGGGTGAAATAAATATTTTTGATTATACACGCAAGCAAAGCATAAAGTGCGAAACGCCATCGTCAGAGTGTCAAGCAATCACTTGCATTGCTTGGGATACTAAAAATAATTTGGAGCTCGCTTATTGTGACGCTTCAGGACAATTGGGTACACTATTTTCTAGTGGTGTTACAATATCCGATGTAGCTAATGACGCCGAAGCTGATGAAGTTGACTTTGAAGATATAGATTTCGAAAGAAATAATGACGATGTTGTTGCGGGTAGTGACAACGGTTTCAATGACAATTATGATGATGATGAAGATGTTGATGGAGTCTCAATTGAAAAACTAAAGAGACAGGTAATGAAATCATCTGAAACTTATATTAATGGTGGCCTTACAGGTGATGAAGATACAAAAGATTCGTTAGCTAAATCTGTGCATAATGCAGATGTCGACGATTATGACGATGACAAACATAATTATGTAGTAAAGACTTACAAACAACAAGAAGCATTTCAGCCAAGTTCTACACCCAGCCACCTTGAGCATAGATATTTAGCGTGGAATAATGTTGGCATTGTTACTGCACACTCTGATGGTGCTGATGGTTCCATTGACGTTGAATTTCATGACACCAATATACATCATTCACTACATATAACAAATTACAGTCAACATAATATGGCTAGTCTAAGTTCAACAGTGTTGTCGCTTTCAGCTGAGGGTTCATCAAAATTGGTGTGTATTGCCTTAGCAGCATCTGGTAATAAAGAGTGGTCAGTTACACTACCAGATTGCGAAAGTATTGAAGCTTTAATAGCTACAACTAAAATTGTTGGTGTAGCCACTAACAATCATTATTTACGCCTTTTCACAGTTATGGGCACCCAACGTGAAATTATATCTATTCCTGGTCCTGTTTTAGCGTTAGCTGGATATAAAGAACGCATAATTGTGTGCTATCATAGTGCACCAGCTGGAGAACATAAGCAACAACATATATCCGCAATGCTGATACAAACTAATGGTTTAAGTTTACGAACCCAACATTTGCCAATACCTTTGCCTGCAGACCGTAAAATGACGTGGTTAGGATTCACTGATTGTGGCTCTCCTGTTTTTACAGATTCAATGGGGCTTTTGCAGTTATTTAGCTTAAAAAGTAATTGTTGGTATCCTATTTGCGATAGTATGAAACAGAGTCAAAGCGTTTCGAATAATTATTTCATTATTGATGTATCCGAGCGAAGTCAAATCGTACAAGCAGTACTATGCCGAGGTACATCGTATCCAATGACAAATCCACGTCCAATGATGCAAGAACTTAATATGCGCTTACCTCTCTGTGATATGGATTCAGAAAAGTCAGAACTTGAAGATGCACTTATACGCGCCTCTTTCATGAACGTTGATGGAACTGATAAAATAATTAAAGAGAATGCCATTAAATTATTTGCATTGGCTTGTCGCACCGAAATAGAAGCACGCGCAAAAGAACTGATAGAGACGATTGCTTGTCCAGATATGCTACTTTTAGCTGTTAAGTATGCCACCAAGCTAGGTCGTATACATTTGTCTGACAAATTATGTGAATTGATGCCGCAAGTTGAAGAACAAAAAAATCAACGGGAAAAAGATGTAGCTAACGAAAATATACCGGAGTCACCTTTAGCCCAACTAAATGCAGAAAACTTTGTAGCGAAAAGCAGTAACACTCCAACTTCTACAACTAATTTGGCGCCAAAAAGTATGGAATTAAGTTTAGTCAAGCGTGTTTCCTTAAAACGGTTTGTTGGCTCGAATACCCCGACAGGTTTAAAGAAGTTTTCTTTTGGACCTCATTCAACTGCAACAACACCTACAAATACACAAAATTCTACTACTTCAGACTTAGACATGGAAATGCAGGAAAATGCGGAGGTTTCTTATTCCGAATCTAAATTGAGCAGCAGCGATAAAGATTTAACGCGCACACCGCTGAATTCAGTGAATCCGTTTGCAGCAAAACGTAAGATATCTGACGTAGATGGTAATCAAAAAGGTTTTGTATTTGGTTCGGATAAGCTAAAAATGATTAAAAAATAAGTTGAAAAAAACAAATTTTTTATGTTAATTAAGTAGTTATAAGTGTTATTTTAAAATATAATTAACAATCAATAAAAACTATAAGTTGTACTTAAATTTATTTATTTTAAATTCAATTGTTAACCATATTATATACAAGGTGTACAATAATTTTCATATAATAATATTTTTGATATAATAATATTTTCGATATAATAATATTTTTTATATAATAATATTTGTCATATAATATTTTTTTACAATAATATTTTTTATAACGTAATAACCCGTATTTATTGTTTTTTCATAAAACTTTTATTTTAAATAGGAATTATACGCTTCGTTTCGGGAATAAAACCATATAAAATAGTTAGCTTAGGTTATACCTGCGATCCCTAATGATATTTCATCGTTACTAATAAAGGACGCTACTTTTTTCCGTTAGAAGAGACGGAGGGTTAGGGTTAGAAGAGAGATCCACCTACATTGACAATATAAAACATAACACAAAAATTTAGTAAGCTACAAAACACTGCCAGAAGAAATATTGTCTAGGTAGAGTGATTTAGGATATAAAGCCGTCCATTTAATGATATGATAGAGTGACAATCTTGTGTACCAAGAAAGCCATCTGGAGCTTAAATAATGGCCCGTTGTGGTATAATGATATAATACATAACACAAAAATTCAATGAACTGTCGAAAAAATTTTTTTGGATATATTGTCCCTGATTACGCCACTGTAACCAATACACATAAAATTTCGTTTATTATAAATAGATTTAATCTTGATTAATAAATCAAAACTTACCAAAAAGTAAAGTCGATCACAGATTAAAGCTTTAGTGCTATTTGCTTGCGGAGACGTGTGAACTTGTTTTCTTCTGTTATAATTCTACTAACAAAATGGTTAGGATGATTTTGCATACGTATTTTGTGATGTCTGGCTTGGCTTTTCATAACATTCTTAATTACGGGACTGTTAAGATCGCAGTGTATGCATTCATTTGTCATATATTTGAGACTATTCTAAGAATTTTTGATTGGAAACGTTGGATAATTTCTATATTTGAAGATGCGGCATATCAATACCAAATTTAAAAAAGCTTTGAGCTTTTGTTCAGTATCCAGTGAAGCTTCTGCAGTCTGATGCCAAGCGCTTTCCTTTTTGTAAAAATATAATGCTTCCAAGTTAGTTTTGTGTCAAATCTTACGAATGAAACAAAATTACATTATGAACAGATTTGCAGTTCAAGCGTTACTCCAGTTTGACCAATATATTGCTATGTATTAATATTTGTCCATGAATCACCAACAATGTCATACACTGTAAATTTGTTATGCTCTTTATTGTTTTCAATTATCTATAACAATACGTTAAACGCACTGTCGATACAAAAATGCTGAAAATAAAAGCACTTGCTTGTTAGTTCAAATAATAAAGATAACCACAAAACCAAAGCTTTACTTTCTATTATGTTTTTCAGGATATCGAACTAATTCTCGTGCCTTAAAAATGTTCATTTTACACCTTTTACTTGCTCTTAAATCTCTAATTAATTAATCTATCTCTATTTAATACCACGACTCTGATTATTAAGGATAATGGTGTTAACCATAATGTATGTCTCCTAATCTAACGCGGACATATTAACAGTATTGATACACTTAACAAAATTCATTATTTAAAACTCTAATTTTCATTTAACTTAATGAAAGCTAGATAAAAGTACCGGATACATTTCTTGTATCCAGTCGTGAGCTTTGCTCGACGTGATGTTCTTGATAAAATAGCACAGGTCATTTATAAACTTACCATTAATTTGGAAAATACTGTCTCAAAAGATTCCAATGTGGCTATCATGGGTGCAATAGAAATAAATCTGAAAGTCTAGACAATTTTTAAACAACAACGAATTGTAAATAAAAACTGCGCAGTGAATTTATATAATAAATTTAAAACATACATAAATACCCGAAAATTTTATAAGTATTTTTAATATACACCTTAAAAAATATAGTGGCAAATGATATTCATAGCAAATTTCAAAAAACAAATTGCTTTTCGTTCTTTTTTCTTTTGTACTCATGTTCGATAAGCTTTAATAGTTAAAGTTTTAAACAGTTAACATATTAACTATTATAGGTTAATAAATTATTATACATAGTAATTAAAGATGATGGCAGCTCTGTTCAATTTAATCACCTGTTATAACCTCAAACTTGCAGCTGATCATTGTTATTAATTCAAAAATAACTATACGAACCGAAATGTTTAAAAGTTCTAGACAAATTAATATTAAATTATTATTTAACATTTGCATGTTAATGCAAAAACAACAAAAACCGCTGCTACGAACAATTTTGACACAACTGCAAGGCAGTAGAGCATCATGCCGTCATTATACAACACAGCCAGCATATGTAAAGATATTCGATAGAAATGCAAAAAAACTACAAAAGGAGCGGGCTGCCATAAAGTGAACAAATATTATAAAATGATTTAATCGTATGCTATTTACATATTTATTTTACAGTCCAAATGTAGAGCTTTATGATTATTTAAAAGAGGAAGTTGGATTTCGTTTAGCTGATCGTATATTCGATATAAAACGAGAAATCAAATGCGCAGCTGACATTGGTTGCAATCGTGGTTTTCTGTCAAAGCACGTATTGGCGGAGAGTGTAGGCCATTTAACATTATGTGATACAAGTCCGACAATGCTAGCGCAAGCACAGGGAACACCGGGTTTAAATATGACAAAACTCGAAGTTGATGAAGAGCAATTGGAAGTGAGTTTAAAACCTTTAAAATGTCTTACCAAATTTATAACACTCTATTAATACATAATTGGTTTATAGTTTGAGGAAAGTTCATTGGACTTAGTGATATCAAGCTTAAGTTTGCATTGGGTAAATGATCTACCAGGCTGTTTTACAAAAGTTATTAAAAGTTTAAAACCCGATGGAGTATTTATAGGTTCTCTTTTTGGTGGTGATACATTATATGAGTTGCGTGGAGCATTACAGTTAGCCGAATTGGAACGACAAGGTGGCATCGCTCCACATATATCACCTTTCACACAAGTATTATATTAATTTATCATATTATTTGTGCGATTTTATTTAAAATTTTTATTTTAATAGATACGAGATATAGGAGCTTTATTAAATCGAGCTGGTTTTACCATGCTTACAATTGATACAGATGAAATTGTTGTTGGATATCCATCAATGTATGAGCTAATGTGGGATCTTAAAGGTATGGCAGAAAATAATGCTGCTTTCAATCGTCCTGCACATATAAGTAGAGACACTTTAATGGCAGCTAGTGCAATTTATAAAGAACTGTATGGAAAGGTAAAAACAGCTTTTAGTTAAATAAATACTCATTTGTTTTATGCACATTTCCGTTTTTATAGGATGATGGTGTTGCGGCTACATTTCAAATAATTTATTTTGTTGGTTGGAAACCAGCCCCACATCAACCGAAACCATTACAACGCGGTAGCGGTGAAGTTTCATTAAAAGACTTAGGAAAAATAATTGAAAGCGGTAGTACAAAGATGAAAGATAAAATCGATAAAAAAGATACAATAGAAACAAAGTAATACTTAATAATTAAGAAAATAAATAAATAATGATAAAATAAATTTTATCATGTAGTTAATTTTATAATATAGTTCATTCTTAAATATTGAAATAATATCGTAGTGGTAGGTGTTAAGTCGGTGAAATATATTGTGTAACATCCCCCAATCTTATCTACTTACATACTGCTATTGTTAACAAAATTAAGTGGTACTTTTATCTAGGTTTGAATAAACAATGACTTTTAGAATAAAGAATAAAAATAATAAATTTAAGAGCAGATGAGTGTAAAGGATTAATTAGTAGGTGAAATATAATAAAAAGAAAAAAGTGATGTTAAGCTATTTGTGGAATTTTCTCAAGTCGCAACATACTTACTGGATTTAAAACTATTCTAGCTCGATTATGGGTGATTCAACAATTTGCGGAAAAAAAAAAAATTTACTATAATAAATAAGTTGAAAAAACCAAAAATTTACTCATTTAAATATACATACCAAAAAATGTGAGTTTTCTATTTCGCACTTGATGAATCATATGTTATGTCCTATGTTAAGTCAATTTTGTTGTAGTCGTTAGTTGAAATGTACTCTTATACTTGTATTCATTTTGTTGCGTTCTTTTGCCATTTTGTATATATCTAACACAAGAATAAATTAGTTGTATGTGAACCTCTGAAATTTAAAGTGCGTTTCCTTCTTGTTTTGTTGAAGCTTAAGTTTTTCCAATAGAGTTAAAAAGAAAAAACGAGTAAATTAAATAGTTTTCGTCATCCTACTTAACGATCAGATTTTTAAGATTTTAAATCAGTAAAAGCAAAAAACTCCATCATCTCGGAAATCATCTTCTACTATTACTTTCAGTGTTGAACAAACTTTCCATTCCCAAATATAAAGCAGAGATCTTCTGCTTTATGCATAATTATTTTAGCCTACGCATGAAGAGGGTCAACATATGTATATGCGGTAGAGATGGTTGAACTTTCCAGTCTAATCTTTTTATTGTTTCTCTATCAAGTTGACACTGCTACTGCTCAGACTACACTTAAACGATCAATAGCTTTATGTAAATTTTTGAAGCCATTTCATTCCCTTGAGTTTTATAATAAGAGTATTATAATAGCAATTTCTACTACTTAAGAAATCTGATAAGGGTATGAAGTATGAGTTCTAGATTTATAAATAGATGTTCTATATAGCGAATCCCACTTATATGTGATTTTAACTAACTACTGTCAAACAATATTCTGTTACAGCAAATAGATTTTACTCGAGAGAACAATCATTATATTTCAACAGTGTTTCCGTTGATTCATAGTATACCTGACTGACTGTTTAATCATAACTGTTAATTAGTGTTTTCATAACTGGAAGAAACCGAAGATATTGTTCTTGTCTGCAGGGGCAACCAGTAGTTGGTCGACTGTGCAGTCGAGTGGCTTTAACATGTAGACCTGGACGTTGTTTCGCTTTTGATATATCTGAACATTTGAGTTTAGAACCCGGAGAAAATTATCTACCGCAGGGCATAGTTTTTACTAGTTATATGATTTATAAATGTTAGAAAATAATATGTGATATACTCAAAATATTTGTTTGTATTTTTATATACTTTATTTTTGTTGTGACAACTTAAATTAAAAATAAGATTTTTTAATTATAAATTTTACAGATGTAATATAATTTTATCACTTTGGTTTACAAATTTTATTTAATATTTTCAATAAAGAATTAAAATATATTTAACTTACAGAGTAAGTGTTTACGTAAAAAAATAATGATATCTTATGCGGTGTAGTAGTAGCAGGGGATATTTAATCTAATTTAGCACAAAGTTCTTTTTTGGAATTACTTTATGAATTATATCTTAATAAGTTAATTAAGATATATAAATTGCAATTTGACTTTCAGTAATATAATGACTAATAGAGAATAAGAAACTTCGGAATACGTATTTTTTTATTATTGAAACATTGTTAAAAAAATACCTTAGTTGTGAATTTAATTTAGAAACTATTTCATGTACTGGTTTCGAACGAATTACTTTTGTTGTATTTAATACAATTTTATTCAACAATAATGAGCTTTTCGTTTATTACTTTATAATAATATTGTATATATAACTTCATAAATTGGACGTAACTTTCAACTTCTTTAAATACATTTGACATTTGTTTTGGTATTGATAATTTTTATTTTTTTTATGATAATATTAATATTCTAACAAATTTTGTTTTAAAGGATTTAATACAGTTTTTTATTTTTATAATCAATATAGTTATATATATATAAATACTAGAATTATTTAAATAAACTTAATATTAAAATTTTAAATTTTTAGATTGCTTTTGGAAAGGTCTCATTTTTAATCAAATGTTTAATTTAGTTTATATTTAATTTTATATAAGCTTAACAATACTTGGTATTTTTTATTTTCACTAATATTGTAAATAGCAAATTATTTTTTTACCACACTAATGGTTTAAAGTATTATGTATATGTTTATATTAGTTAACTAAATTTACACTACAAAGTTTTAATAACTTACAATATTTTTAAGTGTTTACGTTTTATAATAATATCAGGGCAAGATTTTTTTACAATAATTCCTTTTTCGATATATTCGAGTTAAAACTTTATATATATATTTAAATAATAAAAAAAAAATGCAAGTACAAATATAAGTAATGAAATTTGGTTATAGATAAAAAATAATGATTTAGTTTTTATTATAATTTATAGATAATTAATTAGACGATTTAAAAATAAATTTAAAAAAAACAATATTTAATAAAATAATATTATTTAAATTTGTACTGTATACATTTGTGGAATTTTTTCTAATTATACAAAATTACATTATATAAAAATATTATTGTTAATATTAAAAAAAACAAGCTGTATTTTTAATTTTAAATTATTTAAAAAATATTTCAAATAGGTGCCAACCCTTACTAGCACTGGACTGTGTAAGTAACAATCTGACAAAAGGGTAATATGTTAGATATATATGGAAAATTATATTTATAGTTTCACCATATTATATTGTGAAATTTAACAGTTTCATTGTAAAGTAGAGGAGAATGCAAAAAAAATTAAATATTTATTAAGAAATAAGCAATATAGAATTTCATTATAGTGAAATCAGAACTAATATTACTGAAATTTTTTTTGTGGGGTCTCTTTGTGTATGAAAATAAAAATTGTATTTTAAAGTGTCTTAGTGTCTTTACATATTACCATGACAGTCTTTCTTTTTCATAAACCTTAAAAAAGTGAAATCTTTTAAAGTTTACATAAAATTATGCATAATTAATGCGAATTTTATAAAAAGTAATAAATACATATGAACGGAAATGTACGTAGTTTAATATCAAAAAAGTATTTAAACAAAAATATTATATATAGTACTTAAATTTATTTATATGATATGCTAATATACAATATATAATTTTTTACATTAAACTAAAAAAAATGAAATCCACAAATTTTTTTTGATGATTGCAGTTTGCACTATAAGAATCCTATTTGAGGAAACAGGAGTTGGTTCACTTTGATTATTAAAAAAAAGAAACAATTTATATTAAATTGTGAAATATATTTAAATGATATTCTAACAGAAAATTCAACTGTTTGTTATGTTCTTCACACAGATTCTTAATTCTAGTTTTTATGGCTCATTTGGATTCATGAAATAGAGCGGTATTCTATTTTAAGTACTAGGAATTATTGCTTCTGGTATGTGCTACTGTTTTCGTACTTTCTTAGCTAATGAAAGCAATAAGATAAGGTAGATAGGAGTAGCCTTTTAAAAAAAATGAAAGAAATTACAAATAATTTGTAACTTATTTAAAAAAGTAAATTGTTTACCTAAAATATGTATTACATCAGATTTTAGCATTTAATTTGGAGTAGTTCTTTTTTAATTTTCTGCTGATCAATTTAATTCAATACAATATTTTCAGTTTGCAATCTCATTTAAACTTTTAGTTAAGATAATTTAAGTCCAAGTGCTTCTTTCGATAAAGTACAAGTATTTAATAAGAATAGTTAAACTCTTTTCAACTATAAAATATATTAAATAAAGCACATGTCTTGATTCGATTCTGATAGACTTTTTATGCTAATTATTTATCCATATTACCCACATTACCCACATTACCCAAATGGTGAAGTCGTGCATTCTTAACCGCATCTGAAATTTTTTACTCATCCAAATGCGGCCGTTGGCGTGGGTTGTGCTATCGGTGAGGTGCTTATTACCTTTGTCGAAGTTAATGTAGGTGTTGCTGGAGACGGCACTGGTGTTGTACTCGGTGTGTGCGATATCGGTGTAGATACCGATGTTCGTGCTGAGGGTGTCGAAACTGGTGTCTGTGTAGCTGGAGTCAATGAGCGTGTTGGAGATGATGTAGCTATTATTGTCGTAGACATTGCTAAAGTTGTTGTTGAGGTTACTTTAGATATTACCACCGGTGTGCCAATATTATTTGTTGTTAAATGCACTGGCGACGACATCTGTGAATTCGCAGTTATAAGGGGCTTTCGTCAGGTACTCATTAATAGTTCACGTTGTGGTGTGTTCTGTAGAGCATTCGCTGTTTTTAAATGTATACTGTAAAAAAAAATTCAAAAATTCTTACAATTTTCAAATATAAAAATGTGATAAACTTATAATTACTTATTGTCTTCCAGTGAGAATGTCTCCGATGAACCGTGTGAGGCAACTGATGTACCTGCAAGCGAACTTCGTATTGAATGTGTATCCTCTGGAGGTACGTTAAGTGTAACTAAAATTTTTTTATTTTTCATTTTAAAAGTTGTGTTTGTTGTACCATCCAATTACGATATCAATATATACAATAAATATTTTTATACATATATTGAAATGATAGTATCCAATTTATAATTATTTTGAGTTGAGCCAATGATGAGAAAAAAAATATGTATAAAAAATATTTACCAATTATATATTATTTTTTTTTAATAAAAGAAATATATATACTTCAAATATATAAGTTATATATAAGTTATTAATTACATTAATTAGAGTGAAAGTGTAAGCTTTAAAGAAAGATCAAATATAAGGAAAATAAATTTATTATATAGTTTTTAAAATTTTTTAATTCATTTAAAATTTAAATTTACAGTATATAAAAAAATTCAGGGAAGTTGGAAAGAATTTAAATGGTTTAGTTATCATTTTTCTTTGACCTTTTTGTTTCCTACACTTATTAGTATGAGTAGTACTAGTATCGGTGGCAAGAAAACGAGTTTTTTATCTATAGCAAATAAAGTATTAATTTTCCAAACATAAAAAAATATAGATATAAAAAGAACTAAGTCTGCAATTTGAGGAGGATAATTGCGACTATCACAACGTTTATTTTACAACTGATTTTTTAACCGATTTATGGGACTAAATAGCTCACACTTAAGATATTTTAAACCAACGAACTCAATCATAAAGGACGTCTTTAGTTTTTGTTAAATAGGTAGCTGCACCTCAACTTGTGGTAGCATTTAACTGGACTGATAAAATAGGCTTAAAAAAACTAAGCAAGTCTTTGGACCAATATGTAAAATATGAAAATCTCTTCTTGTGAGAACAACATTTTTCAACAGAAAAATTGAAATCCAACTTTTAAATGGCTATGAGAGCTAGATTATATTCCCCAACAATACTCAACTTCTGTTATGCGTTGTCAACCGTAGCATTCACTGCATCTTATGACTATTCTTGCTAAAAGAAAACCGACGAATTATGGTTTAGAACACCAGTTGGATAGAAGTTGGATAGAACACAAAGAATATAACTATACGTCTTATTGCCTTTTAAATAGAAATGGCATTCTTCTAACTTGGACAGATTAATCTTTTTAACATGGTAACGCTGGTTGAGATGTCACATAAAGTAAGGAGCAATTAACATTATAATTATTTTTCAAAATTTGAAGTAACATTATCTTGAATTTCATTCTATATACTTTTTTATATAAATTATATAAGCTTTATTTAAAGTATATTCTTACAACTGTTTGAAATATTGTTCACTATTAACTGAAAAATTATATATCATATATAAAGTTCTGAAATTGTTTTTACCAGCTCTTGTTTCAGGTTTTTTTTTGTGGGATTTAATTTGAGTTAATTGAAATAAAATAATTGATTTTTTGGAATAACCATAACTATTTGCTTCGTGCATCTTATTTCTTCTCTGAATAAAACTACTTGATTTGGTGACTCTAAAAATGGGGAGAAAATTAATATATTCTGATTAATATATAAATATAAGAATTTAAATAGAAATATTATTGTTTATATATATTAAAAAACTCACAAAGTTCTACTTGCTAGAATAAATATTAAATATTGTTATATTAATTGCATTAATACATAAACAAGTGTCTAACATATTATTATTCAGACTTCTATAGTATCCTTATTTAAAGCAAAAACTATTCATAAAATTGTTTTAGAGATCCATAATTAATTTAGACTATGCCTTGGAGAAAATTAGTGAAAAATCGGATATACTATAATGAAAAAGACTAAAAGATATGTGTATATCACTACATTATGCATTAAGCACTGATTGCAAATAGCTAACGAAAGAAAACAACTCAACAATTCAATTTAGCAGCAACTGTGATGGCTAAAAATTAATTATACGGCTGGGTAGGGACTGTGTGGATAATACGGCTATGTAAAAAAAAAAAATAATTTTCGAAATGGTTAGATTTATTAAGCAGTTTAAAATAGAAAAAAAAATTAACCAATCCAATACAGTTATATTTTTAAATTATAGAATCTATCAAAACTGAATAGGCAGGCAAAGACCGAAGAAGAAGTGCTATAAGATCGATGATATGGCCAATAAATGCCTATTATATAAGTTAAGCCCGACAATCTATATGATTGTGAACGAATATTCTAAAATTCGTAAAAAAAAGTTCTATCGAATAAAATAATTATTGAATTAAAATCAAATTTGCTGGCTTGCAAATGACTAAAGACCTCTGGAAGTCATTTACTTCAAGAAACAAAAACTACTATTTTTTAATAGAAATTTGATCATAATATTCTACGAGTTCTAAAGCAATGCATTAAGGACTACCAATTTAGAAAGCATATTGTGTTGATTTAATTGAAAAGTTTATTCATTTATTTAAATACAAAAATTTTGCTAACTTGTACAAAACTAATATATTAAATATTAAAATAAGTATAATATATAAATAAATGCAAATCATAGTTTATACAGAAAGATTAACACATAATAAGCCTTTCTATTAACATAAACATATTTGAATTAATTTTAAATATTTAAGTATTTAGTGAGATTAAATTAATAAGATTGAGTTCTGGCACACAAATTTAAGACAAGGACTGTAACTTTGTGACATTAGAAGCAACAATTTGTAAATAGAATTTTATAATGGTATATCTTCAATATTTTACATAATAAGTATTTTACCAGATAAAAGGTCGACTTATATAAATATTATATGTTAATTTTATAGAGCTTCCTGAACAATTTAGAAAAGTATAAACTCGATTTTAATAATAATAGTGGAATTTCCAGTTTAAGCATTAATATAAATATATTCTTCAACTTTTTTTCAGTCAATAATAGAGTATATAGATTATATAGTATAATAGGTTATATAGGAATTTAAGAGGTTGCAATTTTCTAGGAATGTTATGTTTATATTCATTTTTTTATAAATTATTTACCACTAAGAAATGTGTTTTAAGTAAATATTAGTTACAATTATTAATAAAGCTTAAGAAACGTATAGTATAGAACTTAGTTCAGAATAAAAACAACAATAGATTGACATTTGACTTAAGATCATATAGAACTCATTTTGAGTAGTATAGGATAGGATAATAATCTATTGATATACATGTATGTTATAATAACAAAGTGCAAATAAATTCATCAGTTACTAAATGATATAGAGGTTTAAAAGACAATAATAAGAACAAAAGAAAATTACTTAAATAATTTCAGTGTTGCCATATCGAACCAAATGTTTCTACTGTACACGCTTCTTTCATAGACAATATTGAGTACATTTAAATAAGTTAACTATAAAAAATTAAAAGTAATAAATATACAATTACCAATAACAAAACTTGTTGTTTGTTCACCATGAAGTATATCTACTGGTATACTTAATAAGTCATAAAGTAGGATTATCATTATGTCATATAGTCGCATTACCAGTATATAACTATTCAGTTATGAGGATTATCTATATTAATCAATATTGGTGACCAATGACATTCCGTTTAAAATGATTTAACAGATCAGGTTGGAAATTGATATCGCCAACAGAAATAAAACTGGTAATATCAAAGACTGATATTATCAATTATATATGATTTTTAGGAAATGTATTGTTGAGAATAATTTTAAGGTTACAGAATTCAGACTGATAATAAAAATCAACTTTGTAATTTAAAAACTGAAGTTAATTCCATTCATGAAATGAAGATGCACATCATATTTATTACTGGAATTAATAAACAGTAAAGCTAACAATCTTACTATATTTGAAAAAGAATTCCTCAGAAAGATCGCTAAATCACTAGATAAATATGACTTGTATTGCAGATAAATAATTAAAGAAAAATGGTAGAATGTCAGTGTGCAGAACAATTTAGAATTGATGGTTCAAGAGACGACTGACTATATATCACAAAGTCATTTGTCATTTACAAGCACAACTTTCATTGAAGTTCTAGTGGTCGCAAGAAAAGTAAAATTAAGCATGGTGTCCTCAGAATATATTAACAACCAAGATAGATATTACAAAACCGAAATAATCATTTCCACTTTTGCTTGAGACATGTGCATATACATCTTTCCATTTGAAGTAGACCAATATTAGGTAAAAATATAAAACTAAGTTTGAAGCAGAAATACATAATACTATTTAGGATAAGAGTATAGTTAGAAGCGATAGTATAGATGAAAACATTAAGCACTCATATAATAGGCTAATGAGGCAACACTGATATTGTTAACGAAATAACAATAATATTGTGATATTCTAAATTTTAGGATTGGCAACACTGTTACTAAAAAATTCGTTGAGATAATCATTATTTTAAATAATTATTAAAAATTGTTTTAGTTTTCTATAAATATAATATACAAAAAAAAAATATGTATAATAAAATTAATAAAGTATAAATAATTCATATAAAAACTATATTTCTACAAATTTGTTACTTAAATTCTTGCGCTACTTTTATAATATATAAATAAGTTATTAAATATTATTAATAATAATATACGTGTATAAATTAAATAATATATAAATCATTTTAAAGTCGAGTATTTTGTACGCTCTGTACATCATCGTCATCATCTTCTTCAACATCATTAATGTGATTGTGATTGAAATTAAAATAACTGCTGTCGGTGTCAAAGGGTTTGTTGGTGATAACAAATCCATTGCTATAAAGTGAATAACTGCTAATTGCCGGTGAGGTGGCTAAACTAGTGATACTTTGATACGTTTTCATTGAATATGCATCACCTATATAACGTGAAATAAATTATAAGAGATATATAAAAAAGAGAAAATGTAGATAAATAAAAAAAGCAAGATAATGTATTAGGATAATACAGATTAAATGGTTTAGCAATTTTATTCAGAGGTAATATACATTAAAAAATCAAAAATTATAGGTTAATTTCATACTGAAATATATATACATATATGTGTATTTGTTTTGTACAAAGTGTTACAATTAAAAAAAACTATATATTGCT